TTTTTTTTTTTGGAGGGCTGGCTTTATCATGCTGTTGAAGGGATAGATGGATGGATGGATGGATGAATGGATGGACGGGCGGATAGGTGGTTAGACGAACAGGTCAACAAATAGATTCTTAGATGCTTATACGTGCGCCCGTTTTTGCTTACTCTGCTACGACTTAATTAACTTACCAAACTACCTTTCACGATATACTCGCACATGTTCTAGGTGAAGATGGAGGAGAAAAGTGGCCGTCTTAGACAGGTGTCCGTCTTCCACAATGACATTATAATGTAAAAAAAAAAAAATACGCAAGGGAAGAAATGGAAAAATGGCCGTTTGAATAGGTGATTGCAGTGGCGGTGGGTGGACCAAAATTTGGGTGGGGCTTGGGTTGCTTTCACTTCTTTACCATCAAATAGCAAGCGATAAGAACAAGACAGTGGTGATTTTTCAATACTCACGGCGAGCCACGGCATTTTGAGAACCATTCAATCACCTTTGTCTTCCTTCTCTTTGTTCTAGGCCCTACGTTAAATTCTTCTGGATGCTGGGGACGAGGGGACGAAACCGTTTCACCTCCAAACTTCTCTAATTAATGTTCATCTAATGAAAAGGTTGCCTCAAAAGTGGTTTGATATAATTAATAACTGTTAAATCTCAGCGGCACACTCACAAACATGCATACACATCACTCCACGAGCTACATTAGGCCGTGTAGTCGAGGAAAGTAGACAGCACCTAACAAAGGTCCAATGGGAGCGTAGGGAACTGTGTCTGTGGGGGAAAGTGTCGTAAACTTTGTCAATGCTAGGACAGCGTGAGCCCTCTATGCAGTGTTATTTTTTCAAGTCTTCTACCTTTTTACAAAAAGAGTTTCATAAACGAGGGGTTGAGGGAACGGGCTGATCCTTTGTTGAGCCCGAAAGATATTTGATTAGCTGTTAGGTTACTTTTGTTGTAAGCGGTGGCGACAGAGATTGGATAAACGAGCAAGCCGCCAAATTAATCATTCTGTGTTCATTGCGTGCGATCATAACGGTTTCAGTTTCTTATTTTGTAATTTTCATTTGCTTTGGGATAGAGTTGAGGGTAGGGAGGGGGTCTCAAACCCTTGAGCCCTTCACTATCCACCGCCACTGGGTGATTGTCTTATACAGGTGGCCCCCACAGCAGGCTCGAATGTTTGTGTCTCGTGTGTGGTTTATTTTCCCTTTGGTCGTATCTTCTTGTTACCAAGGTGAGGAGAAAAGGATGCAGTGGGGATAGGCTGTTGGCGGGTGCTCTGGTATTGTTTGCTCCTTCTTTCTTATCGAAAATCCATATCTCTCCTCCTTCCTTCCTTTGTATGTTAGTCTCTTGTAAAACCGCTAATCCTCTGCACTTATATGGCTTATTTGTGTTTGAAATGCCACGAATATAATACATATAATAATAATACAGTGCATTTATATGGCACTCTGAGCTCTTTCAGTCTCCTACTAAAATTCAGCTAAAGATGGGGGTCCATTCTTTTCCTTGGCCTCTATTATGCTGTAGGCTTATTTACCTTTTCAATTGTTCTGTGTCTCGTGTGTGTGTGTGTGTGTGTGTGTGTGTGTGTGTGTGTGTGTGTGTGTGTGTGTGTGTGTGTGTGTGTGTGTGTGTCTAAAGTAAC